TTTCTCCATCAACGTTCGTGAAACCGAGTCGACGACTAATGAGTTTTTCTGTGGACAGAGAAAGAGGGGACGCGCCGGTAAAGAGCAATTTCCGGTGTTTTATTGCACCTTCTGCTACGATTACGCGGCGACGCGGCGATCGTATCGCCGGTAAAGATGTTTCACGTCTTTAAATCACGGTTATCGGTAAACTTGAAAGAGAAACGACCGTTTTGGTCGATAATTTCCTGCGGACGATGGGCAAGATGTCGTTTGAGGATATTGTCGGACAGGAATGACAAATACAAATGAGAATTTTTCGAAAGTTTTGCAATAGATTTTTCTTATTTCTGTGCTGTGATAATTTTGAGATGTAACGATATTAGTGTATTGGTAGCGTATCGAGCTTGGCGAAAGGAAAGTCAGTTATGTTAAAGACGTCAACGTGACAAGACGTGTAACATAAAGAAAGCATTTTGTTTCAAATTTTTTAGTACTTTGCTACGACCTTTGGAATCTCAATTAAAAAAAAAAGTTAGATAACTCATTAATAAAGTTTCATTTGATACAAAATTTAATTATCGTAGAAAGGCAAGATTCTTCGATTGTAGGCATGATTTCTCAAACGTGTATTTAATGAGATGCATTATTCTTTTTACCCTAAAAGAACGTTAAAAATACAGTCATTCAGCACGTATGGTAAAATTAGTGTTTCCTTTTCGATTCGACGAAAGAACGCAAAGAAAAATAAAACGTATTATTTCTCTAATTGCTGAAGTCACTTATTTAAGTAAGTAACGAGGTAATTGTAACTTCGTAACTCGAGTCGCGTAAAAATGGACACTAACGTCTGGTATCGTCTCGTTTCGCCTGGAGTTAGCTGTGGTAAAACGATTAACCGAGCCAGAAAGGCTCGCAGAAAAAGACAAACTATCTGGCCATGCTCTCACGAATTCAGCCTCTCCGTTCGCCTTTTCAACGCAAATATTTATGGAAGCCCTTGGCTTCCACGGGATGTTAAAACCCGAGAACCTGTGCGACACTATCCCCAGGCAAATTGGGAAACTTGCTCCAAGAAATTGGACAAAGCATCCTCTGAAATTGCGAGGAGGCGAAAATCTGTTTTATAGGATTCATCAAAATTTCTTTGCAGGATTTTTCGCGTGTCGAACAAGTGTTACGTTCCATTAAACAAGTGATAGTTCAAATTTAATTAGCCCAAAGAATTGTGTCTTCTTCGATCGTCTATCTTAAGCAGCATGAAAGTACTATAAAAAGGAGTTTTAATATCCAATTGACTCTTGACAGAATCTCTGTTTCTTTTTCCAAAATTACCACTTTTAAATAGTTCTTCGTCAAACAAATCGTTGCACATTAAATGGCAGATTTATGAATTAAATTTGTAACCGCAATAACATAGCCAAAATTCAGTTTTATGAATCAAAGTAGGCTGCAGGAGATTCAACGCATTTCTGTTAATGAACTACAAGTGCATTTAGCCTATTATTATCAAAATTTGAATATTGGCAACAAATTCTTCAAATGCATCTTTAATTGCTGTCTCGTTAATTTTTTTTTTTTGTAATTATCTAAATATTTAAACTAACGTTATGTTATTCATTCACTAGCTATTCCTATCCCAAATGCTGTATTAATATTGTGTTATCGTTATTGCATTATGACCCAGTTTATTCTCTATTTTTAGTACAATCTTAACTTACCTTTCTCACTGAAACAAGTCTTGCATTTAAAACAGTAGACTTTCACTTTTTCAATAACAATTGATGTGATTCTAATTAACAAAAACAGCACAGCATCTGCCAACGACCTAACACATCAACGACCAATATAACATACATCATTTACAAAGTCTTGCATTTAGAACAGTAGACTGCTTCACATTTTCAAATAACAATTGACATGATTCTTATTACCAAAAATAGCACAGAATCTCTTGGTATACGAGTACAGTAAATTCTCTACAAGTGTCAGTCAGTTTGGATTCTACAAGTGTCAGTATAGATGGTCCTACGCCTAGGTCTGCGTCATTGCTGCGCCTATGTTATCTCTCTCGCTGTCAGTCAAGCATGTAACGCTACACCGTGTAACGCCACTGCCTGGCGTGACAGTGAACGTGTTAATAAGTAAATGTTGTTCAAATTATGTCGTGTTTGATGTCATTGCATTTAGAACAGTAGACTGCTTCACATTTTCAAATAACAATTGACATGATTCTTATTACCAAAAATAGCACAGAATCTCTTGGTATACGAGTACAGTAAATTCTCTACAAGTGTCAGTCAGTTTGGATTCTACAAGTGTCAGTATAGATGGTCCTACGCCTAGGTCTGCGTCATTGCTGCGCCTATGTTATCTCTCTCGCTGTCAGTCAAGCATGTAACGTTACACCGTGTAACGCCACTGTCTGGCGTGACAATGAACGTGTTAATAAGTAAATGTTGTTCAAATTATGTCGTGTTTGATGTCATTTTCATCAGAAAAATCTCATCAATATGTTAAGAAAAATTTCAGGATAAAAGACCAATATAACACATGTACATCATTTGCAAACCATTCACTCGATTCACCCAAAATCATTTAACCAAAAAATAGCTTCACCTTGGATTCTCAAACGCGACACACGGAATTCCACAGGGAGAATTACGCATTACCATCCAGCGTTCAATAATTCCATCGGTAACTCACTACGAGCTCCTCCTTCCAAGCCCTTTTACTATTCCTCGCAACGGCGTCGTAAAAAACGTAGCTCTCGTCCACGAGCCGAAGGAATATTCCCATTTCCCCAGTGTGTTTCTTCGCGAGGCCCGAACGTGTCTTTTAACCGGGCTGAAGCGTAGAAAATTCGAGGCTCGTCGAACGTGATCCAAGGCTTGGTCGTGGCTGGAATCGCTGGTCACGTCCGGCCTGCCGTCCCCTGCAGCGATTCTGCGGCAACGGCAGCTGCAACTGCAGCAGCGTCGAGCCTCTCGCACCTACACTATGCACGCCTTTATCTAGAATCTTTTGAACTAGCTCCAGCCTCTCCCCCTTTAACAGCTCGGGAAAAATCCTTGTCCATCGTATCAGCGGATTTATGCTCGATGGTGCCGCATCGCGGACCTAACCGCACGTTGCTCGCGCACAACGCTCGATAATCTGAAAAAATTCTGTTCCGCCGGTTCTACCTCTCTCAGCTTAGCGCCCTATCCTGCGCCTAAGGCCTTGGAAATTCTCCGGTTGCTTCGTTTCATCTCTGTCCGATTGGCCTTCGTTGTTCGCCGATCCCTCATCAGAGGGGTTTTTTGGATTTTTCTGTCTGTTCAATTTTTTTTTTTTTGCTGGTGGATTTGACGAATTTTCAGAGATGAATTTAACGGAGAATAAATTTTAGATTGTGGGGATTGTGTAATTTAGTGATTACAGGTGAAATGTAAGAAACCCAATTTTTATCATTTGTTTGGTAGATAGTTTATTTAATAGTAGGTGAAGTCTTTGAAGAATTCGTTCCGAGTCCATATCAAATTATTTCCAACATACCGTATTTCCGCGCGTATTTTTCGCACCCCTATTTTCGTGAGATATTCTCAGGAGAAAAATAATTTCCAAGTATTTTTCGACCAGCCGAAAATGACAAAAACCGTGCGAAAAATACGCGAGTCAATACGTTATTACGAAATCAACAGAGAAGTATTCAAATTGCATCCACAGAAAATTCTAAAATCAATTTGTCACGTCAAATTTCCTCTTGAATAATTCCTTAAAAAAAAAAAGAAGAAGAAATTAACATTCGATAAAAAATTCTCTGCTTTGCCGCAGAATCAGGGATCTTGAACCACAATTATCGTTTAAGGTAAATTACACTTTGTGTATTTCTCGTTAAAAGTCAGCTTAAGGTAATATCTGGTTAATTGAAAGAGGCTTAAGCGTATAATTAACACGATAGTGCTTCTTGAGTGCGTAATCACTTGGCAAAATGCAATAATTATGGAAAATTGGTGAAAACGGCTCGAAGTAGATGAGTATCGGTAAAATTTATACACACTTGTAAAAAGCGAAGTCATTTACAAAGTGACAGGAATTTGCTTCTGCAAGCTCGCGATACGCGAGTGCGTGAGCTCGCGCGCCTTAATTAATGCACACTCACGTTTAAATCGGAATTAGTGGATGGTAGTATCATTACCGGCGGTGCAATAATCTCCACTTTTAATCCTTTCTTTCTACCCTCGTTCGCGCCCTTTCGTTCCTCCAACGCTCTCACTTTCCTTTTCGCTTTTCGTTAATTATTCCTTGAACTTCCATTCGTTCCCTACGCCAAAGGGGAAGACATGGTTTCATGGCAGTCGTGGAATGTCCTCGAAAGTGTAACGAGTTCGGTAAACGATTCGTTATGAAATGTTGTTAAAATTCCAATTTTTTTTTTACAAGTGTAAACGATCGTGGGATCAATTTTTAATTGGTACGGCGTTGCTGATAAATTTTGATTAGTAGTCGAAGTCGTTTAGTTGTGTAATTATACTTTGTAAATAAATGTAATTTAATTGAAATTTAAAGTATCACGTTTCGTGTGAATTAATTTCTGCTTGATTTAAATTTCGTTTCGTTACTTT